CATGCATATTTGTAAGAGATATTGGTCTGTAGCTTTTTTTCTTGTGATGTTCCCTCTGCCTGTAACCTTCCTAGAATTTCCCCCAGAGTTCAGATCAACTATCTAGGTGCCCATGTGCTACAATGGTCTGCGCCAAATTACCAGCTGCCCCCATTGGGAAGGGCACCAAAGCATCTGTGCAAACGTCCACCTGTGTCTGGGGAGGCAGGACTGACTGGCATCAACTGACTATTGGATCTTTTTACATGTATTCTCTCATTTGACCCTCTCAGCAATTTGTGAAGGGAGTCATGTATGTCCATGGTACAGATGGGGAAAATGTACACGGTAGATCCGTGAACTGACCCAAGAACAAATGCTTTTGATGATATCTCACTATACAACAAATGTGTAGTCAGTTTTATTTTAGTTTATTGTTATTTCAGAGAATAATGTAACAAACATCCCTACTTGCACCATTCAGCCATTAACATTTCTCATATTTGCTTTTGGTATTTTTTTCTTCAGGAAAATAAGGTATTAAGAATAAAGCTAAAGGTCATTTAACTACTCTCCCGCTCCAATTTTCTAGAGACCATGATTCTTACCATTTTGGTGGTTATCCTTCTAGACAGATCATTTTTATACTTTTATGTATGTAAATATGTATTTAAAATAGCAGACATTATTTTTTGCATTTATGTTGTTCATAATTTTTATTTCCTGCACACAAATATTTACATATCTTTATGAATTTGGAGTTTTTGTGCTGTTGTTTCTTTTACAAAAATGGATCATTCTGTACATACTTTTCTGCTTTTTGCTTTTCTTACTCATCAGTATATTGAGGAAATTCCCTTCTTTTTGGCATAGCTCTAATACATTCTTTTTAGTGTCATGTAACATGAATATTATTCATCCATTTGCCCTTTGATAGGCATCTCTTAATCTGGTGAACAACTGTGTGACAAGCACTTACCTATTCCCAGGTAACACGGTTTTTATTTTTATGAGATACATTTCCAGGAGAGAGAGTTTCAAGTCAAAGGATATATGTATTTTTACATTATAATGGCTGTTGCTGGAATGCATTCCAAAATACTTCCCATTTACCCCGGATTTGAACAAGAGTATTCATTTTCCTAGGCCTCCTTGGTAGTAGATATTACTTAATATTTTTGGCAGGCTGCCAGATGAAAACTGATATTTCACTGTTATTTCAATTTGTATAGCCCTGAATTTGAATATCTTTTCATATGTTTTTGATCTTTTGAATTAGTTTTTCTGTGATTTGCTAATTCATGTCCTTATCTCAATTTAAAGTTAAAAAATAATTTCTCCTTTGGTAACAGTTTATTAATATAAATATTAACCTTTTTTCTTAGTGTTGCACATTTTTTGACTCTTTTATGGTCTAAGTTGATATACTGATGCTGTATAAAGGTTTTAATTTTTATATTATAATTTTTTTGATGACAGAAAAATTATTTTTCTTCTCAGCTTTGGGGTTTTTCTAAGAAAATCACCCATACTTATTCTTGGAGTTTTTGAAAAGACTGGTGCAGTAGTATACTGCTGGGTTTGTTATATAAAACCATAGTGATTGATTTTATTGTGTAAGGGACAAATCGATGATGATGATGATGATGATGATGATGATTTACTCAGTAAATATTCATGCTTTACTGTTAATGAGTTTCCTTAGGTAAGCACAATATATGTGTTATTTCATTGGTTTCTCATAACACTCTGTGAAGTGAATGCCATTATTACTTATTTCCAATTTATAAATAGGAAAACCCAGGCACAGAGAGGTTAAGGAACTTTCTCAAGATTGCAAAGTCATAAGTGGCAGAGCTGCCTTTTGAATCCTCACTCCTTCAATGTAGAACTCATATTCATAATCACTGGGTATTTAGTTAAATAGAAAGATGGGGGTCTGCACAGTCTAAGAAACAGGCTCTGACAGAAGAAAAACAGGCTGTTGATGGGGACAGAAACTCAAAGGGTGGTTGGTGTGGGCTCATCAGAAAGGGCTGAGCTTACAAGTGACGAAAGTTTTGCCTAGGATGGGGATCCTGCCAACCCCAGATTGACATCTACCCCATCTTATGTACAGCTCCTGGTTTTATGGGCCCAGAGGCCGGGCTGGTGATTAGGGGCATTCCATGTGCCATATTGCCAGCTTGATCAATATCACTGCCTTGGATGTCTGGCAACCCATATTCTACCTACTTGTGATGATTAACTCTATGTGTCAACTTGACTGGGCTACAGGGTACCCAGATATTCGGTCAAACATTATTGTGGCTACTTCTGTGAGGCTGTTTCTTGATGACATTAACATTTAAATTGGTAGACTGAGTACAGCCAACTGCCCTCTATAAATGTAGATGGGCCTCATCCAATCAGCTGAAGACCTGAATAAAAATAAAGGCTGGTGCTCTGCCAAGTAAGGAGGAATTGTCCAGCAGATTGCTTAAGGACTTCATCTGCACTGTTGACTGCACCTGCCAGCCACACTGCAGATTTGGACTTACCGGTCTCCATAATTGTGTGAGACAATTCTTTATAATAAATTGCTTTATCTATCTACACACACACACACACACACACACACGCACGCGCACGTGTGCGCGCGCGCACACACACACACACACACACACACACACACACACACACACACACACTATTGCTTCTTTCTCTGGAGAGCCCTGACTAATACACTGCTGAACTGAAGATATTTACTATGCTCCTTGGGTGGTGTACATGGAACAGGCTCTAGTTCTAATGGGAAAAATATCTGTAAAGTTTCTTTTGTGCTGGGCAGTGGCTACTAGTTTACAAAGGTAAAGACTTTCTTTTGGCAGCAGCATAAGAGACTTGGACTAGACTTTGTGAAGGACTTCTAGGAAGTGAAAAGTACTATGGCATATTCAAAGCGAAGAGTAAAGGAATTCTCTTTGTGGATGAGGGCATCAGGGCAAGAGAACAGAGGGATGAGTGAAATGATCTTTTCAGAGCTTTTCTGGGTTTTTAGTAATGATCCAGAAGTCAGCAATTGTTGTCCCTAATAATGTGATCACCTAGAAAGAATCATGTTTTCCTTCCTCATACTCAAGAATAAACACTCCTGTTGAATTGCAGAGATGCTGAGGGGTTCCCTGCGTCATGATCAGATGGGATTACCAGGCTTGGGCTGGGCTTCCTGGGATGCGGACAGTAAGATGGACAGCTTCAGCCTCAACCCTCTGTTGGGCTGTTCTGTACAGCGTGCACATTCTCACGACAGAAAAAAGGAAGGGAAGGGATTTTTATATTTTCTGTATGAGAACTCCACTCCAGGCCTGGGTCGCTGCTTTTCTTACAGTGAGAATATTAATCCTCACATTTTCTCTTTGAGGTGGGTGTTGTGGTCACCATTGAAAAATACACATTGGTTATATGATTATTGCAAATTTAATGCTTGTTCCTTGTAAGATGGTTAGAGAGCATGTAGGTATATAAAGTAAAAAGTGGAATTCCTGCCTCCCGTTCCATGCCCCCACCCCTTATAGTGACTATCTTGAGTAACGTTGAAGGCATCCTTTTCGACTTTCTGCAAGGCAGGTACAAACAATATGTGCATATAGTGGTCTTAAAAAATAGTGTAGGAGAATAGACATAATATACAAGTTACTATTTTTACCATTAATGCCATCCTTCTCCAGAACTTTTTCATCTTCTTCAACTCAGACTCTGTTCCCATTAAATAGTAACTCCCCACGGCCCTCTCTCCAAGACCCTGGCAACAACCATGCACTTTCTATAGCTGTCAATTTGATGACTCTCAGTATCTCTTGTAAGTGGAATCATACAATATTTGTCTTTCTGTGTCTGGCTTATTTAACTTGGCCTAATAATTTCGATATTCATCCATGTTATTGCATGTGTCAGAATTTTATTCCTTTATTAGGCTGAATAATATTCGATTGTCTGGATATGCCACATTTAAAAAGATCCACTCACTCATCAATGGCATTTGAGTTGTTTCCACCTTTTGGCTACTGTGAACATGGGGGTACAGATATCTGTCTATCTGTCTGAATTCCTGCTTTCAATTCTTTTGGGTATATGCCCAGAGTGGAATGAATAAATCCATATAATTCTGTGTTTAATGTCTTTGGAACCTATGTACCATATTCCACAGTGGCCAAACCATTTCTCTTTGTCACTAGCAAGGTGCAAAGCTTCTAATTTCTCCAGTCCTTGTTATTTTCTCCTTTTTTTTGATAATAGCTATCTTAATGGGTGTAAAGTAGTATTTCATTGTGGCAACACAGGGTTTTTATTTCACAAAATGAAATTGTATGATGTAAGTTGGTCATCAACTCTTCTCTTAAAAAGTCCAGCCTGGGCTGGGCGCGGTGGCTCATGCTTGTAATCCCAGCACTTTAGGAGGTCAAGGTGGGAAGATCATAAGGTGAGAAGATCGAGACCATCCTGGCCAACATGGTGAGACCCCCATCTCTACTAAAAATACAAAAAATACCTAGGTGTAGTCGTGCATGCCTGTAGACCTAGCTACTCAGGAGGCTGAGGCAGGAGAATTGCTTGAAACCGGGAGGCGGAGGTTGCAGTGAGCCAAGATCATGCCACTGCACTGCAGCCTGGTGACAGAGCAAGATTCTGTCTNAAAAAAAAAAAAAATCCAGCCTGCTGCCTTTTCTTAGCAATGCATACAAGTTGCCTCTTTAATGGTTCCTATTCTTATTTTATGGATGAAGAGACTGTGGTTTGGTGATTGCAGAGGACACAGCAGTTCCTTCTGGGAAAGGGGTTGGAAGCCCTGATTCAGCTACTAAGCCTGCGTCATACCTAAACTGGTGGCAGAAAACAGCCATTTCTTCACCTTCTCTGCAGGTCAGGAGTGGGAAGAGAGCTTGTCTCTGTTCCCTGATATCGAGGGCCTCAGAAGAAAATCTTGATGGCTGCTGTATTTTCAACTGCTGCTGTGACAAATTACCACAAACACGGAGACCTAAAACCACCCCAGTTCATTATCCTACAATTCTTATGGGTGGGATGTCCTGCAGGCTCAAGTTGGTCTCTGCTTAGAGTCTCGCAAGGCTGAACTCAGGGCATAGCAGGGGAGAGTCCATTTTCTGGCTCATTCAGGCTGTTGGGAAAATTAATTTCCTTGCAATTGCTGGGCTGTTTTCTTGCTGGCAGTACTCCAATGAAGAGGCAGCCTGCATCCCTTGGCTTGGAGCCCCATTCCTCCATTTTCAAAGCTAGCCATGGCAGGCTGAGCCTCTCTTGCTTTTAAGTCTCTTCTGCCCTTCTTGATTAAATCTCTCTGCCACTCCAATTCTGTTTGCCAGCTATCTGGAAGCTGGGGAAAGTTTTTTTGCCTTTATAAAAGCTCATGTGCGTAGATCGGGTCCACCTGTGTAATCCAGGCTGCCCTCCCCATATCAAGGCCCATACCCTAAATTCCGTCTGCCAGTTCTGCTTGCCGTGTAGTATAGCAGATTCCCAGGTTCCAGGAAATAGGGTGTGGAGATCTTTGTGAGATGGGAGGGGGCATTATTCTGCTGGGTGCTGGACTCATTTGAAGGCTTATTGATACCCATGGCTGTGGTTAATCTTGGTTGTTGGCTGAAGCCTTGGCTGGGGCAGCCAGCTGGAACTCACCATGTGGTCTGTCTATGCGACTGGCCTTCCTTACAATGTGGAGCCTGGGTTCCAAGGGTAAGAAGAAGGAGAGAAATCCGGGTTGAGGTGGGGGGAAGGGGAGAGGGGAGAGAGAGAGAAGCTGTATCTATGTCCTGGCCTTAGAAGTCACATAGCGTCACTTTTTTTTTAGTGAGTTTTAAGGAAATAGAAATAGACTGTAACTCCTCCAATTCTTTTTCCTTTTTAAAATTATATATATATATATATATATATATATATATATATATATGTATTTATGTAGCAGAGATGGGATCTCCCCATGGTGCTCAGGCTGGTCTCGAACTCCTGGGCTCAAGCAATCCCTGTGCCTAAGTGCTGGGATTACAGGCATAAGTCACACACCGGGCCTTTCCAATTCTGGATGGGATGTGATGATGTTCTTTTCACAAGCACATGGGACTGAAAATATTTTGGAAAATACAGCTTGCCATATCCTCCTAGATAGCACTAATGACAACAATACAACATTTACTGAGTTCTTACCAAGTCTCAGGCTCCGTTCTAAGCATTTTACCTGAGTTCTCTAATTGTAACCCTCACTGCCATCTTGTGATGTAAATACTCTCCTTATTCACATATGCAGATGTGGGAACTGAAGCACAGAAGGGAGCCCTAGCGAGCTTGGCAGATGGCTGGGTGTAAAGGAGCAGACTGCTGAAGAAGCAGAGCTGGGGGAAGCCAGGCAGGGGAACCTGAGGGAGAGGAAGGATGCAGGGGTGAGTGCTGGGCAAGCCTGGGCAGCCCCACACTGGAGCCAGGCTTTGAAGGACAGATCAGACTTGGGGCATGGTGGTGGGAAGGGTGTTTCCTGTGTAGGGCATGGACCGATTTAAAGGGTGGATAGGGACGGTGTGGGCACACTGGCTGAGTGTAGAGGAAGTGGTAGAGTATTGAGGAGAAGCAGTGGAGTCCGAGAATGTCAGCTGGGATGTGCAGACTTTCTGCTGGGGCATCTCGGAGCTAGAGCAGGTGTGGGAGCAGGTCTGATGGCAAGAAGGGCTTTTGTGTTCTGGAAGGGCAGTCTCGGGGTCAGGGACAGCAGCTGAAGTTGGGGTCATGTCTCATATGAGGCCATATCTTTATCTCCAAGCAATGCCCACTCCACTTCCCTTTCTATTCTGTCCTGGAGGGAAGAAAGCTCTGTGGACCCCCTAAGGTCTCCACAAAATGTGCTGAAGGCAAGCTGGGCAGGGGGTCAGTGGGAATGCACAGTAAGCTGGACTGCCGAAGCCTCCAGCTGCCTCTCTCTCCTGCCCGGCTGGGAGACTTGCCTCATTGTGCTCTGGTAATGGTGGCAGGGCTGCCTGCATCCCCCAGGTTCTGCAGGGCTGTCTCTCCTCTTTGCATGCCTCTCTTTGCCTCTATGTCTCTGTTTTGCTGTGCAGTTCTCATTCTCTCCTGCTGTGTGCAGCAATGCGTCTCTGGCCCAAGTCCGAGCCCCTTTCAACAATGAAGAGATGGAGGCAAGGAGAATCTTGGCCCTGGGCCTTTTCAGGAAAGCTGACTTCAGGGCTTTGGGGCAGTTAGTGTGCTGAATCCCCCGTATAACCTTCTGTGCCAGACGGAAGCCATTCAGCAAAGCTCACAGCACTTGCCTGGCTAGCACTTAACTCGGAGGGCTATCGGAGGCACCCCCCCAGGAGCACAGTCGGGCACTGGCAAAAGTTCAGACTCTGCATCCACACGCCTGGGTGCCAGAGCTCTGACACTTACTAGCTGTAAGAGCTTGAGCAAGTCGCTTGATTTCACTGTGCCTCAGTTTCCTTAACTGTAAAATGGGTGTAACAAAAGTATCAACCTCATGGGAATATGTGAGGATGAAAATGCTTGATGCATGTGAAGTGCTTTGGAGAGTTCCTGCCCCCTGGTAAGAACTACAAAAATATTTATAGGCAGGTAAATATAAACATAATTTTTAAAATATGCAATAAAGCCTAGTGGTTTAGAGCATAGGGTCTTCAGTTTGATGGATTCAGCACTTCCTGTGAGATCCGTGGCAGGTTATTTAACGTCTTTTTTTAACATCTCTGAGCCTCAATTTCCTTATCTGCAAAATAGGAATTAGACTGAGTTGAAATAAGGATCAAATGAGATCATGCGACTAAAGTGCCTAGTAGACACTGAGCTCTCAGTGAACAGGTTCATCAAGTCCCTCTCCACCCCAGGCCAAGGCCAGGAAGAGCTGCAGCCTGGGCCAGTGGACATGTTCATTGAAGCATCAGGGGCAAGACTGGTGGGAGCCTAACCGTGACCCTTCCTCATCTCCCTCATCAAGTTGGGTGACAGGTGCTGGGGACGGGGGACCAGGGTCCTCCATGCCGACCTAGCCAATAGAGTTCCACTGGCCTTCCTCTGGGACATCTGAGCCAGGAGCTGGGAACCCGGGAGCTGGCTGCGGCATGGCTCTGACCTCTGAACTGTGAGGTGCACTTGGGGCCTCTGCTCCCCTGGCACTGCGGCCTTTTCCTGCAGACTGGCTCCACCTCACCCTCAAACTCGAACCCGCATCCCCAGGGGCTGCCAAAGGTCTCTGCTGCTTGTCCCACTGTCAGTCCAGCATATGCAGGATTTGCCTTCCTTCCCCAGATCTCATTTCTGAATTGAAAATCTTGGCACTGGACATGGCCTTTAGGTATTTGTCCCTTATTCCCCTCGCCTCCTTTGGGGACCCCTCTTCCCATCTCCAGGGGGGCTGCCAACCAAGGGTAATGCCTCCCTCCCCCAGGACAGATCATGTGACTCTTGTAGGCCAATCAGGAGACCTTGCCTGCCTGGAAACAGGATTGGTCCAGAACTGAACATGTGATTTGACGAGGGCCAATTGGAGTTCCTTCTGGTGGGATTGCTAGGTATGCTGGGAGAGAGAGAATCTTCTGCAATCAAGCAGCTGAAGGACCGTCCTTCCTGTCACTGGGAGCCGGCCTGCCTGTGCCAGAGCTGATGCAGAGGAGATCTGAGATGTGGAAAGAGGGGTGGGTTCTTGAGGACACTGCTTGAACCTCTGAATCCATCCATGCCTGAAGATGGTGTTGGGCTCCCAGTTACATAAGCCAATCAATCAATTCATTCCCTCTCTCTCTCTCTCTCTCTCTCCCTCCCTCCCTCCCTCCCTCCCTCCCTCTCTCCCTCCTCTCTCCTCTCTCCTCTCTCCTCTCCCTCTCTCTTTCTCTCTCTCCTTTTTGCTGGAGCCAGTTTGAAATGGGTTTTGTTGCTCTCAGCCCAAATAATTCTAACTCAGAGCCACACTTGTGCCCCATCTTCTACCATCCATCTGCCCATCTGCCTTTCTAACCTTGTTCTTTTTCATCTCCTGATCTTTCACTGTGGTTTGAGCTTATAGTCTACTTCTTGCCAAAGGTCACTAAGAATCAGAGAGGAGATAAGGGAAAGGAAGACAGAGTGGGGTGATGGAGGTGATGGAATGGGAGGCAGAGGTGTGTCATGTGAGTCCAGGGAGGCTGAAAACCAAGGATGTGGCTGCAGCAACTCCACAGATGTGCACAGCTCCCATCAGCTGGCTCATTTTAGAGAGAACAAAATAGTCACAGAGAGGTCGAGTGACTTGTTAAAGAACATACAGCTGGGAAGTGGCAGAAGCAGGATTAGAATCTGGGTCTTTTGACTTTAAACTCTGTTAACACAAAACCTCAGTCTATCAGAGGAAAGGGCCCTCATTCGAGCTTCTCATTAGGCAGATAAGAAAATCTGAGGCCCAGATGGAATAGAGGCTGCGTCACTCTCCCCCCAGTGGTGATTTATGGGACGCATGGCAGAGGTGCAAATGGGTACACACATACACATAAGCACACACACAGGCAAGCCCTCTTATCCGAGTTTTTAGGGAGTCAGTAAAACCAGCATGATGGGGATGGGTGAATTGGAGGCACAGTCAGGAGCATAAACAAAAGCTCTTTAATAAAATATTAAACAAAGGCCAGCACCTTTCCCCACGCTTCCCTACCCATGCATGCTCCCCAGAGGCCTCTACATTAACTTCTAGGCTTGTCTCCACACCAGTGCCCCATATCTTTAAATAATGCGTGTCTGCCACTATTTCCTGATTCATCAGTTTCGGACATTATCTATTGACTTTCCAAGATGATGGATGAGAATTTTGCTCCCACTCATAGCCCCTCCACTCCCCCACATTCTCCCATTATTAATTTTCAGTGCTTCTAGTGGTTAATTTTCTAACTTGGAGGACTAGACCTGCCCTTTGTTTCTTGGTCATGGAATGCTAGAAGCATCACCTGAAGCTTTCAAAGCTCTTGTGGGTAAGATAAGGGTCTCCATGTCCTTGGCCCCCGGCAGCGCTTCAAGCCCCCTCTCCTGATGGTCAATCACATGCCTGCAGGGACCAGCCAGTCACCAGCGTCATAGGACGCTGGGCCTTGGGTCTCCGACCTCCATTCCATTATTCCACTCAGTGTTTTCTCTCGTGTTCTGTCTCCCATCCCAGGCTCTGCCACAGCCACTAGCAAGGAGAGGGAGTTTCAGCCTGGTCAGAAATCCTGTGGCTTTCCTGAAGACATTCGGCTTCTTGGGGTCTTATGGCCCAAGGGTTTCTAATGTTGCCTCGCCACTCCTTCCGTATCATCACTTTGAAATAGAAATGAAGGTCTCCAGTGGGCTTGTTCTTCTTATGAAATTGTCTGGCTTCATTGTATCATTAGAAAGAGAGAGAACCAAATCACACCAAGGACTGACAGGCAGCTTGACAAGTGTCAGCAGTCAAAGCCTGAATCCGTCCTCTGAGTTTGCAACCACTTAGCTCCCTCCCCTTTACCTATAAATATGAACAATGGGGTCTTTTGTGGGGTTTGTTGCTTCTGCTGAGCCCTTCTGAGTCACTGCATATTTTTATGTGTTCAGTAATATACAGTGTGAGTCATTCTCCAGCTTGGGGGTATTTTGGGACTTGTGCTGTTTTACTTACAATTCCAGAAAAAAATCAAATATTACAGAGGTGATAAAAAATACAGCAAATTCATATGATCCAGCT